TACAAATGCATAGTTGATGCATGAATGCCATGATCATTTATGAGTGATGCGAGAAGAGTTTTCTTATATACATGGTCCAAAAAAAATAAATAATCCAAAAAATCTTAATAATTCAAAACTCTCTTTTTATTCTTAGGAAAAAAGCTATTTATTACAACCTTTTTTTTTTTCAAAAATGCACAAAATTTTGAAAAAAAAAATGGAGATACAAAATTTAGACAAACACACAATAATGAAAATAAATAAAGACACTTTTTTTTTATTTTTGTTTTAATTTTTGGTAGAAATATATAACCATCTTATTATTAATCCAAGAAAAATGTTAACAAAATCTTTCCTCACACATTATAATTCGAGTGGTTTCTTACAAAGATATCAACATAGCTCTAGGGTTAGGTCATCATGACTTATTATATGCTCAATTCGGATTAACACGTGTCTAAAGGTTCTTAAATTATTCTCATTATCATCCATCATGGACTAGTAAAGCACCTCAAGTCTTACCCATTACAAGCTATGAATAGAACGAGTTTAATTTAAGTGAAAGTATTTCGCTTGCCATTTTAGAGGTTATCACTTCATGAGAACATAGGTAGTTTACTTCTTCCTATAAGGAATAAGGCCCGGGTATAAAGCTTATGCATGAAGTGTAATGTTTCATCGTGTGTGCAAATGCTCCTAATTAATTGAGGATAATATACAAAGAAAAAAAAATAAAGAATGAACAAATGGCACAGTTAAAATGCAATGTAAGTGATTTCTTTTTATTTATTTTTTTGGATATTTTTATAGAATTTTGATTTTTTATTTTTATTGAAAAAAACAAAAACAAATAAAAAATTAAAATTGAGGAAATTAGAGTTAAACACCAATTAAGACCATTTAAATCAAAATTGAAGATAGCATATAATTAATTTTGGCCCTAACTCTTGAAAAAAATGGATCCACAATAGAGTCGCCAAGCTAGTATAATAGTTTTAGGCCCACTAGACGAATTTAAAAACAAATGAAGTCATCACCAATTTTTTTTTGGCTATGTGCGATTTGTCTCATATTAAAATTTATCTTTTTTATAAAATCTTGAAATTAGTTAAAATTTATTAAAAAGATCATTTTAAAGTCTACGAAACAGTTTAAGTTCGAAAGTTTAGTTACGTGTAAAGAAGGAGTAGCACCCGTCACAGTGCCATTTAGAAAACGGTACCAATTAATTATGTGTTTTCCTTTAATTTTGACAAAAAGATCTCAATTTTTGTATTTAAAAATAATTTCTTTAACTACCTTTATTTGTCACAATTTTGGTTTTTTCTTTCTTTTTCGATTTTTTATTATTCTATTCATTCGAGAAAAATAAATTAAAACATTTTTATTGAAAGAATTTTAAAAATATTCATATACATTGGTAACATTAAAAGAATTTTTCTCACTTAAAGATTTCATAGAAATCATTACACAAATTTTCTTAAAATCTTATTTTTCAAAAATTAAGTGACATGTATGAAATGCAAATAATGAAATATTAGAAAACACATTTTATTTACCCCTTTTTTGAGAAAAAACTATTTATTAATTTTTTTTTATTTTTATTTTTTCATAGAAGAAAAGGAATTTTTTTATTATATCAAAATTTTTTTATAAATACTCCAATACGCTAGTAATATTTAAAAAAATCTTATCACCTAGATATTTTTTAAGTATCACTACTCAAATTACCTCATATTCTCATCAATGGAAACTCGTATTTTAATTAATTAATGTAATTAATGTTCGTGCATTATTTAAAAAAAACTTTTATTTTATTATTGTTCCATTTTTTAATTTAAAAAATAAGTAAATGAAAACTTTTTTATATTGAATATCTTTCTAAATGTTCCAATACTTTGGTAGCATTTTAGAAAAATATTCTCACTTTGAGATTTTTAAAGAATCACTATTCGAAATTCCTTAATATCTCATCATCGAATAAAATTTTCTTTTCCTCATTTTCTTATTTTTTATTTCAAAATTATTTTAATATTTTTTAAATTTAAAATTTAAATATGCATAAACAAACAAATAAACAACTTGAAAAATGTTAGAAAATAATTAATAATATATAAAAAAATAAATAAGGAAATGAATAAAAAAATACTTAAACCAACCAATTTGGCAGCGATTCAATTCAGTGAGGTTTTTTGGTGGTTTGGGCTGTTTTGACTGATTTAGAACGATTTAACTGAACCGACTTAAGGGTTGAAGGTAGGAGCTAAACCCAAAGTCAAGCACACAAACCTTGGGTTAGGTGCAAGTTAGAGTGCAGGTCTTCTTCTTTTTTTTTTTTTCAGCTTATAAATCCTAAATTATTTTTTTACTTCATTTTACCTTTTCACAAAAAAAAATTTTAACTCTCTGAAAAAAATTCCAAAGGCTGACCAAGCTTTTCCAAATTCTAATAGTCGATCACCACACAACTGTCATTCATCGGCATCGATTAGGTCCCAAAAATCACCTAAAAAATCCTCTTGTCTTCCTTGTTACTGTTTTGGCCATGGTTTAGCCTAAAACAACCTCAAAAAGCCCAAATCTGAACCTAAAACTATCAGTCTTTAAAGCTTAAGTAACCCTCCTCCACAACACCAAAAGCCTTACTTCAAACTATTTCTTCCTCCAAGTCCTAGGCTTCCTCCTCACAAAATATCAAGCTTTAAAACCATTCCAAACACCCCAAAACCAAAACCATTTTTTCTTCTATGTTTCGATTTTTTTTATGCTTTTTAGGGTTTTTTTTTATACTTTCTATGGTTCTTTGGTGGGGATGTGGATTTTTTTTTTTTTGGGTTGGAGTTTTCGTAGTTGTTTGGATAATATGGGTTTTGGTGGATAGCTAATAGACTGTGGGTAACTAAAGATAATGGTTGGGGGTGATGGTAATTGGTAAAAGAGGGATGTGTTTCCTTAGTGTTTAGTGTTGTTTTTTATTGTGGTTATGAGTGAGGTTGTCTTAAGGTTTAGGTAAAGTCTTCTTGTGGTTCAAATTGGCCTTCTCATTTGCTTTATTTTTTATTCAGTTTAAAAAGGATTTTAGGATCAATGGAGAGACCAAGAATATTGTTATGGCCTAATGGAGAAACTGAAGTCTTGGATATAAGGATGTGTTAATGGCAGTTGATTTTTAGCTGCCAAATGTGGTAGTAAGGTGCCTCTATTAGGGTAGAGGGAGCTGGCAGGGAATAATAATGATAGGTGCGAGCACTAGTCGTTTTTTGTTTCTTTTTTTCTTTTAGTTTTTAGGTAAAATTTTTAATTAATTAAAATTCAAACAAAATCAAACAATATGGGCTTTAATTAGACTTAGATCTTAGGCTTAAAAAAATTACAATTAAGCCCACAAGACCCAATCAAAATATTTAAATAGGCTTCAATTATGCAAGTTAAAATCCTGAATAAAATTAAAATTTACTTGAATAAAAATTGGTGTCTACAGTCATTGTTGTTACTATGCCAATTTCTTATTCCTTACTACTTATGGGCCTAATGGTTGTCATGAAACCATTGGCTTGGTGTGTCAGTCAACTTGTTCTCTCCCTATGAACATTCATGGCATTGCTCACACCACTCGACCTTGTCAATGGCTTTAATCTCCTCAACCTCAGTAAACTTTTAGGCTTTTTCATAAAATTAGTATAGCTGTTCTGATTTGTTTTTTGTCAAAAAATATCTCAAATGGTCATGCCTTACTCTAAAGATAAAGGCTTGGATAGCCCATTCAGTACTCAAATCCTTAATCTCAAAAGTGGCTGTATTAAACATTTTCAAGTACTATCATAAAATTTCTTTAGGCTTTTACTTTATAGCCAACAAACTTACAGATGAGCGTACAACAACTCTATTGCTCAGGAAATATGCTAAGAACTGTCCACTAAGGGTTTCAATACTATTAATGGTTGCAGGGACTATAGAATAAAATCATGTCCTGGCTTTTCCATGCATAGTGGTGAAAAAAGCCCTACACTTCACTGCATAAGAAGCATTATGCAAATTCATAAGGGTCTTGAATGGTCCAGGTGATCTTCTGGGTCACTGGTCTTGATGTCTTTTTGGTAGTTTGAGAGAAAATGGAATATCAGCTTGTTTGATAGTCGAGGTGAAAGAATAATGGTCATCCTTAAGCTACTAAGTTAGCTAGCTTCTTGCATAAAGTAGCAACTTGTACAACTAGTTTATTTTCTAGGTTGAGGTTTGCATGTGTTTGGTTTAATGTTGGGTATTGTATGGTATGATCATAATGATGGGTGTTGTCATGTATGATTTGATGGTATGTTTCTTCAGGGTGAGTTACGTTTTGAAGTGGTGGTGGTTCTTTGAAGGAAAACATTGAACTTTCTCTAAAATGGGATTTTTCCTAAAGGGTTGTTGTGTAGCTTGTTGGTACTGTTGAAGTAACCTTTGCTGAGTGGTCACCTGGTCAATTAACAGTTGTATTTGAGCCATAAAGGCTTGAAAGAATTTTGGGGAAGGCTACACAGTAGGTTGATATGTTGGTAGTTATGGCACTAGGAGTTAGACATGTATAGTGAAAGTTACAAGGGGAAAGTTTGGCCACAGACTGGCATTAATAAGGTTGTGAGGAAAAGATCTATGTTGTGAGTAGTTGACGAACAAAGTTCAAAGGTCTAGGTGCAACACTATGGACCAACGGTGGTGTCATTGTTACATTTAAGGATAAAACTCTCATTAAATTCTAATAAAAGCTTAGAGGTTGTGTTGCCTAGGCATTTAATGAAAATGGATTGTCGGGGAATGGAGAACTCCAAGTAAGTAAAAAAGATGTTACCCCGATAACAACCACAAAATGAGTAAGAGCATTAATGATAGAAGTTACACTTTATTATGACTTTCGTTTCCATTAAACGGTGCCAATTATTGATCGTACTTTTGGATGTTTTAACTTAAAAGAAAAAAATGAGGTGAAAAGGAAGACAATTGTAACCTACAACCAAAAACCACTACCCATGGATCCCAAAGTCGTTACTCCAAGACACGTAAAGTCGTTACTCCAAGACACGTTTCAACGCTCGAGTCAATATAATACTTAAGGTAAAATTAAAAAGTAAAGAAGATTAAAATAGTAAAGTGTGTTAAAAAAGCTTAAATGGAAAGAGAGCTCAAAAAGTACCGAGTCTCCCCCTTTTTGTTACCTTAAGTATATGATTTTTCACCTTTCACCTACCTTTTTGCTTGAGATCAAGGGTGACTAAAAATCAGCTCTTGAATAGTAATCTCTGTTTATAAAAAACAATCAAAAAAATAAAAAAAAAAAAGGGGCTCAATTAGTTGGTTCAATATGAGCCATGGCAAACCGTTTCTCCTCGTAAACAAACATGCCTATAATCAAAATAAAATCATAAAATTACTTCCATTTAAGATTGGTCCATACATTCTTTTTCACTTGCTTACCGCTTTCATAACAGTATACTAAAATTCCTTGATATCAGAAACCTAGTTGCCTGCCAACTGCCCACAAAAGTGAGTTGGAAAAGAGCTCTAATACAAATGCTGATAGAAAGCCTTAAAACCACCACCAGCCTTGAGACTTTTTCCTCCTGTGTATTGAAAACTTGTCAGGTTGGATCCTAGCCTTCACTTTCACTCTTTTAATCTTTCATAATGACAATGGCATCATTGGGAGATTTCTTCCTTTTTTTTTTTTTTTAATTTTTCCTTCAAACTATACAAAAACAATTTCAAAATTTTTACAGTATCTGCTTTGCAATTGTTACATTTGAAGTGAGGACCATAACTATGCAAGCTATACACAGATGGCACTCAATCCACTGGTGTGTCATTTTTGGCACCAGATTCATGCTGGAGCACCACCTTTAACAGAGTCAAGATAAAGGAGAAGATTGTGGAGCACCAATATCCTCACTTGCACTTCGAAATTGTTCTATAAGTAAATTCCGTATTTTCACTCTCAAGCCAGAGGCTTCTTCAGGTCTGAACCACTGCTTGCCAAACTGAAAATGGAAACAGGTTAACCAAGAAAAGACCAGCCGAACGAGAAAACTTTTCTAGAGATCACAAAGGAACACAAGTACCATTGCTAAATCTTTCTTTTTCAGTCTTTCAGGGGCCTCTTCAATGAAGCGCTCCATGAAGAAAAGAACAAATAGACCACAATCATAATCATTCTTTTGCTGGGGAACCTGGCCAAAAAGCATCAACAGAAAACCTAAAGTTATGGTTTTAGAGAAAAATGAGAAAAAGATTGCTATATCTACGAAATTATTAAAAGAAACATATGTGATAATTTTAGTCCTCAAAGTTGACCATGCCACATATATACTCCCTGCAAGATTGTTTTAAACATAATTCTTCTAACAGTCATCAATTAAATTGCACCAAGCCACCAAATTTCTTAGCAACATGTTTTTAATTCAGCAAGATTGATCAATTAAAGTCAAAGCAATTTTAGAAATGAAAAAAGATGATTTTCTATTAAAAATAATCCGGTTTTCAATGAAACAGACTCCATGTAGAAAATTTTATGTTCAGAAAATCTAATCCTACAGTGGACGGTAGATCGAAGAGGAAGAAAGGTAAAACAGTACTAGGTTTTTGTTTGAGGTAGCAGACAAACTACGATTACCTGATATTCTTGTAGTATGTAAACTGAACTAGCTTGTTAAGATGTTTAATGGTTAGCAAGCATGCACCCACAAAAGTATCTTAAATTAACTTTTATCAGGCAGCTTTACACAAAAGAAAAGAAATCTTCTATCTATATGACCAAGGAAGTTAATTTTTTATGGTAATTGAAGATCAAACAGTAACTACTGTGAAATCACTATCCACCAGGCTATTCTTTACCAACTTGAGGTTTCTGTCCCATTACAAAATCCATAAACAAATGACACAATTAAGACACAGCAAATAAAAACTTACATCTATTGTTCTCTCATCAATCCTACGTGGGAGATTTTCCCATATTTTGTCTGCAATTGGAAGATCTGAAGGAGCAACCTGTTGATTCAAATAGTTCCGTTCTTCCCTCATGTAGCTAAAAACCAAGATTCAAATTGTCTATTAGATTTAAGAACCACACTAAGAAGGCAAACCAGTCCAGTATTGATTAGACGTGTATATTAGAAAATTACCATTAAAATAAACAATATTTTTTCAAGATTGTGAACAACTATGAAAAAGACAAGTCAGGATATGACTGAAAATCCACCCACAGGCTTCAAATCAAACGTTGTTATACTACCATACAACAATAATTAGGTAATACAACAGCTGAAAGATGTTGAAGATTCTCATATGACAGAATCTTTTTACTTGAATCACTTAAGAGCTCATTTAGCATTACTGTTGTAGTTGAAAAAAGTGCTTTCAAAAAGTGAGGTAAAAAAAAATATGGTTAAAAATTTTTAAGTATTTAATATTGCTGTGAAAAAGTACCGTGAGTAATTGAAATGTCTAAAAAGATATGCATAAATAACAAAATATTAGAAAATATATGGTAATATACTGATTTTTATCCAAAAAACACTTTTTCACGTCAAAAGCACCTCTTATGTAGGTTTTTGGTTTGGGTTGCAAAACTAAACCTTTAAATTGAAAAGCCATTTTTTTTTGTTGTTTAGCATTGAGGTGGATCAAAAGCAGCTTTTGAAAGCAAAAGCTATTTTCAACAGCAATGCTAAACTAGGCCTAAGAAGATATGAATGAAGAGATGTGCAGGTTTCAAAAGCAAGCTATTGTAAACAGAAAAGGAATTGTCCTTACGAAATTTCCTTCACACAATCAAATGGCTTCTTATTTTTATGAATATAGAGACAAAGACAAACTACAGTAGTACCTAATCATTTATAATCCTTTGGTTTCTTTTGTCTCACCTTTTAATGTTCTTAAAAACTGATCTGCTAGAATGAAGTCCCAATGAATCCAAATGAAGGATAATCAGTCCTGATTCATCTTCTTTGTCAGGTATACAAATGATGATCAAACTCCAATGGTAACTGGATACCAGAAAAGCAATAACTGAGTCAAAATATCAGAATAAGTTCATTTAAATTAGGGAGAACTTAGTGAGAAAAAAGGGGGAAGGATGCAGAAAGCTATTAAATCAACTTATTCAAAAGAGATGACTAATAAATCCATTGGTCCATATCATTTCACCGTTTTGAAATGTCCCATCTAGTTTATTTCTTCAACTACTCTTCACTCTTAAGCATGCCAAAAAGAAGCATATTATTAACCTTCATCTCCTTGACAGAAAGCAGAATAGTCACTCAACACTAGTTAAGACTCACAAGATAACAGACTGTGAGTGAAGTAAAGCAATGATCATTCAACAATATTCTGTTGATTACAGGCCCTAAATTGATCATTCCTTCATGAAGAAATAAAACAAGTTTTCTGTGCTATAGTTCTTTTTCAAAGTCAGAAACTAGGACATGAGTAGGAATAGAAAAATAAAAAATTTTGTTAGTGTAATAATACCACTATGGTAACAATGACAACTTCCAATTTCTAATCCAAGAAAAGTATGAAGGTGGGGCAATGGTAATTATGATTTCAAGAAATCAAAATGTTAGTCAATAATCATGAGAAAGATGCAAGAATTGTTGGAAGATACATATATAGTGTTTTCATTGTCCCTCATTTTGAGAAAACTGTGTTTCCATGTCTACATACCCTCTCTCTCTCCCCCCTCTGCTCCTCTTCCTCCCACTTCTTTCTTCCCTTCCTCTCGTGTTTATAATTGCAAGCAAGAAGACAAGCATTATTGAAAGAAGCATATAGCATGTTTCCAATGGTCCACCATATTGAAAGAAAGGGCCACACTCTCTCCCCCCACCCCTCTCTCCTGCTTTCAAAATTTTTCTTTCTTTTCCAAATTAAATTCCTTTTCCTTTTTCCCACTTTGTTTCTACTGCACCAATTCTTTCTCATAATTACATAATGCGTTTTCTAACTGTGAAAACCACCATTTTGGCATATCATGGCAGCATGCTTAGCCATTTCCAACCCATTTTCAAACCCATATCTGTGTCCTGTCATGCAAATGAAGTACTCTGGCAGTTCATATAACAGCAGGCATCAACAATAAATCTATAAATGCAACATTTTATGTGCTTGTATGTAAATATCTATAGCAGGAAAACTCACTCTTCATTAATTGGAATAAGTACATATGCTTTCTGGAAAATATTGACACCTTTCCACCAACTTCTGAACTTGATGAATAAATCTTTGTCACTTCCCTATATGGTATAAAGGACAAGAAGCACCCAGCAAGCATGAGTTGGAGAAGTTCCAATCATAATAGTCGAATAGTTTCAAAGTTCAGAAAATGATACACAGACCCGAAATTATAATCATTGATTTCGTGGAAGCACATGTTTGAAAAATGAATGCAGTTTCTAGCTCACCAGTGCAAAAAAAAAAAAGTATGATAAAAATTTAAAATAGCACATACATCTCACATATACTGTTCTTTCTGAATTAAACATTGCCTTTGTTCTCAAGTTGCTCTATCCAGGAATAAAACTAAATGACTTAAAGAGTGAAGTAATGAATCATAACAACATTATCTTATCAAAAAATCATAACATTATAACAATACAACTCAAGCACCTAGTTCTACCAGTTCAGGTTCGATGAACCTGACTGAAAAATGATTCCAGAAATCCCAAATCAGTATGATGCATTCATCTTACACTGCATAAAAAGCAATCATTTATAAGAGAACAAGAAAGATAAAACCTTGTATGATACAGCATCTTTCAGCTTCTGGTAAAAATACGTGTTAAAAAAATGATAGTCACATATTGCCCTATTTGTTGGGGATGCCTGCTGCTGTAAATATCTGGCCAAAAGTACAAAAAAGTGATTAAACCCAAAAGCAGAATACTTCGTGTAGCATAATCTATTAAATAGCAGCTATTTAACAAAATTTTTCTAACTAAATCAAGCATTTAAACGCTTTTTAGAAAAAATGATATTTCAACAAAGTTGGGAATTCCATGCAATCATAAGAAAGAAATGTCAGACACGGTATATTGGAAATTTAAGTTCAAATTTTCCACAAATTTTAAAACTCAAGAAGTTAAGAGTCATACACTCATTTCACATAGCATTCAAAAGCACAATGTCAATAGTAGTGGAAACCATTAGTGTCATTGCACTATGATAGGGTAACAATCCTGTTCCAATAATCTACAAACTGGAGGTTCTCAGGAAAAGCAACTAAAAAGTTGTTTTGATATTTAATTTTTTTCACTTGATAGAAGTACCTGCTTAGCTACTTTAGTAACAGATTTATAGAAGTTCTCAACAGAGATGGGAAAAGTTAACTGGACCTAAACCAAGATCTAACCTAAATTTGAGTTTCTATCTGTCAGCCGGTTAAATTCCAACCCCACCCATCCCAAATAGATTCAAAAGTCAATTACTCAAATTGGATGTATTCAAATCCAGAACAACCTCAAAAATCAAAACCAAAGATGACTAGAATTCAAAATGACCCAACAGGAACCAAGCTGACACAACCAATTGGTCACTCCTTACAAGATCAGAAGCTTGTGATATGTGAAGAATTGATGCATTTGTAATCACTGAATCAGTTATAGAAGTATCTGAAACACTTACCGGATGTAAAAGTTCATAATTTGTGATGTCAAGAAGGTTTCAGGAGCAAGGCTGTCAATATCCCCAAAACAAATTTCAACAGATTCTGGATCATCCCTGTATCAATAGATAAGGCAAAAAAGTTATGACAGACAAATTACATCCAGCTAAAATTGTCTGCAGAAGTGATCCACATTACTCACACAAAAGCACCACGTACCTTGATGGGTAATAGATCCTAGCATCCTTTTTGCTGAAAAATTGTCAGATAAAGATAAGATATTGCTGGCAGCAACCAAATAATGGTAAGCTATAATATAGTGGGAAGAAAAACAAGTATTGGAAGTTCTACTAACAAATTTGGAAGTTTAACTTCAAGCTCTGTTGTCTTTACTAGCTGTGGTTCTTCCTCATCTACAAGAACAACGGTCTGGCCCTGTTTCAGTTATACATCATTGAACCAATCAATAAACAAAGACAAAAACCTAAATTATGGTGACAGCATGAAATTTCATCACCATACAGCCAAAAAAAATACACAGACTACTGATTACAAAACCTATATTTTCATGGCAAGACAAATTCTGCAATTCTATTGCTTTTCTCGTCAGCTTTTGAAATCACAACAACAGAGTCAAGAGGCCTACAATCATGCAAAGCTGTCTTGTCCCCAAAACCTCTAAAATAACCAACTTATGTGAGTTTCACAGCTAACGGTCAGTATGAAGAATTTTTTAGAATTTAAGTGTCCCAGTTAGAGCATATTAGGGTTCAATTTTAACTCTAAATAAAACAGATTGATCACAATTAGGATACACAATATCAATCTCCAAGCTCGTGCATAAAGAGACTTTTAGAATATTCAGATTTCCACCCAGAAGCCTTTTTATTCTTACAATACCCTTTAAATTGCATTCAGAATACAAACTAGTCAATAACATAGGAAGACGGAGACACATTCCTTTCTTCCATTAGTCAGTAGTACAAGACAAGACAATCATATAAAAGCCAGGCCTGTTGGATGCTAAATCAAGAGAAGACTGACTTTTCTCAGAAGAACTAAAACGATACAGGGACTTGAAAAATCACTACAATTAGATTCAAATTATATGGGATACGAACTCAAAACCAAACCAAGAATCTATTGTAGCCCTTAATGTAATTCTAATGACAAAGGACTCAAAAAATAAGCCAAATATCCTAAGCATACCCAAGCTACACTGATATTATCCGTACTTTACTCAAGCATCAATAGTGACATTCACAAATTGAGCAGGTGGTCAACATTAGATAATCATCATCATAATAGAAGTAAGAAAAAGAATGCATACCCTCCTAACCCTTGAATCATTTGATCGCACTTGAAAAGCATTCTTCCTACAGAAAAGGTACGGGGAAATTCAAAATACAAGCAAAATACAAGCAAGGAATTTATTGAAATACTCAAATTAGCTGAAAACAGTCAGATGAATTACGAAAAATATGTCAAACATCATACAGAATATCTTTAAATTGACAACAAACATTCAAAAATAAAATGCTGAATTGTAAAAGATCAGTAACATGACCCTAAATAAAACCTGCAACAAATCAGAAAAGTTGCACACCATATATTTTCTATTACATACAATTTGAGGGATGAAACACAAATAAAAGTCCACAGGCATGAAGGGTTCAAGGATAACCTACTTGTATTTTCAGCCTCAGAATATGAGAGTAATAAGCATCTGATGTTATTTAATCCAACAAAAGAACTTAAACTACGTACAGTCTTTAAAATTTTTGTTAATGGATTTGTCATGCAACAAACTTAAATTTTTTTCCTGAAAGCAATTTGATTTCCTTAAATTCTGTTATTTGTTCAAACTTCTATACTTTCAATCTTGACACAACTTCTTTTTCTGAATAATTTTTCCATGATTTCAAATTTAACAAACGTTCTAGTTTAAAACCCTGGCAATATTAAAGTTTAAATCAACTTAGAAAGCACTTAGTGCTGGCAGATACATGCCTTTGGGCCTTTTGGCCTTTGGCAAATAGGGCCTTTTGGCAGAGAAAGTATGCACCTATATGCCTTCCCTACCCCTAATTACCAAAAAGAAGCACAGTGAGTTTAGCATCAGATCAAGTTCATTTCAGCCGTAAAATATCAACCAATGCAGAAGAGGGCCAGCAACTGTATAATAGAGACAAAAAAGGGGAGGAGGAGAAGAAAAAAACCACTTAAAGAATGTAATCTTGCTTACTTTGCAATGCTTGGCAAGTCATCATCCGTGTCATGAAGAGAATGCACTGAAGCTGTCCTACCCTTTTGATCACCAAAAGAAGGCTTCCTATGGAGTTGTGAATTCATCCGTCTTGGTGATACCCGAACTTTCTGCCTTTCCCTCTGTGAAAACTCCCCATTGCATCTGGCGTTCCGGCGTTCACAACGATTCAAAATTTTTAAATCTTTGTCAGATATGTTGACTATCCTACAATCTGTCTGTAACATAAAATACAAAAGCAATCATGTTCCAAAATGAAGTTCATATTCAAGTACAAAATTTTATCCTATAATCTATCATTTAATTTAAAAGCATTTAGAAGAAACCACATTTTGTACTGAACAATGCTAATAAAAGAGTTATATATAAATAGATAGTAGCACTTTACATTTTCTTCCATCTTTTTGCAAAAGCTATCACTGAATGTAGACTGTGAGAAAGCTTGCTTTGATTTACTCTGTTGTCCAAAGACGTTAGTAGAATCTGTAGGAAACATTTAACTTCCTTAAATAGATGTCATAAAACTGGAATTCTAAAATTACAAAGAAACTGTCCTTATGCACATAAGTCATAACTAAACTAATCCTTCAAAGATCACATATCTTGAGCTCAAAACAGCCAGAGCTCAAAAGAGTCAAATTCTTGGTTCTAATAATGGATGGATCATTATCACCTTGATGGTAACCATACCCCAAAAAAGGGGGAAAATAACATAATATAACCAACCACACTTGTTAGATTTCACTCTGATTCAATCATCTGCAAAGGAAAATAAGCAGAAATTTCCATCTGTTACAGCCCAAATTCAATCTATTCTGATCTATATGATTTTTTATCAATCTATATTTTGCCCCACCAACTAGGGCAGGAAAGCTTTGAACATTATGCCACGTTATCTATGACTACACCCTTCTAAGTCATATGCCGTTAGCTATTTATCAATGCAGTGGAACACAAACACGAGGGTTCATCCCAAGTAGATTAGGATAATCACTTATTTGCATTTAGTTAATTAACAAAAATTAACCATTTCAAGTTGAATACAATAACATATCATTAGGCCCATGTTAAGGAAAAACAACACCAAAACAGTAGAATCTCAGAATCAACATAATTTCCTGGCTATATGGAAACGAAAGTCCACTCAAGACTCCCGCAAGAGACTTCAAAAAATCTTAAATGATTCAGAACCTCACCAACAATATCTGAGCTTGGAGATTGTGCAGGGTTCTCACATCCATCAGCATCCTGTCCAACAAAAAATAATGCAAACAATCAATGTTCTACTGAGTAAAAGGGTCGATACATAGTTACCGTCATTCATTCTGAAATGTGAAACAACACCTAAATCTTGACTACCATCTAAAAAGGAATGCTTTTTTTTTCTTTTAATAATTGATAGTTGACAGAAAACAATGCAAGCAATTATGCAGTAAGTCGACAATTAAAACAAATATAGAAAAAAAAAAACAAAGGGAAAACTATTGTAAAACATAATCACTGTCTAAAAATCGAAACGTACTAGTTAGTTAAATTAAAACCAAAAAAAAAAAAAAAAACACTAATTTATTTGCCAAATAATCTCTCATGTAACTTCTCAATTTCTTTCTTCTCTGGTTTTTCTCAGTAAACAAATTAGTCAAAGAACAAACCATTTTCGCTCGCGAAAGCGTTCTCCGTCTTCTCTCCTCCTCAAGGAGCTCAAGTTGATCCCTAATCTTCTTGCCTTTATCCGGCAATTTAGAGCCAAGGCGTTCCAGATTCCGCTGCTGCCGTTGAATCCTCTCTTCCAGCTTGTGATCAGACCAGTTTTCCCAAAATTCCTCTTTGCTTTGATCGTCGCCGCCGTGGCCCATTTCGTCGGATTTCATCGGCGGTGGTTGTGGCTCAGTATTGATAACCACTAAGTGCGGCGGTGGGCCTTCATCCCCTGCTTGGCTTGAGAGTAACTTGTTCCAATCAAGTTCTAGTTTCCTCTTCCTGTTTTTCTCTTCTGCTTCCATGCAAACCAACCTAACATGAACGCCAGATTTTTCTCTCACTTTTAAGCCTTTTCTATTTTTTTTTTTTTAATTTTCTTCTGATACTCACAAATACCACCCTATTCTGCTTGCAGCTTTTTTTTTTTTATTATTTCTTATTTATCTATTTATTTATTTATTTACTTTTCCTTTTTTCCAAGTTATTTGGCCCAAGAAATGAGCAAGGAGAAAACCAACTATTGATTACTTGGTGGGGCTGTGGAAATGAAGAAATCAGTCGTCGCAGTAGTGGGTGTTGATTGGGCTGAGTTCAGTTTCGAGATTGGACTTTGGACCCAAGTTTGGCCTGTGATTACTGATTACCGACAATTTAAGTATAAACAATAAAAAAATTTTAAGATAATTTTTCAATTATTTTAATTAAAATTGAATTGAACATTCTATAAATCATAAGAGATTTAAATTGAATTTCATCAATTCTATTCTTTAATTTTTATATTTAATTTATTTACTTAAATTTAAAAATAACATAAGATTATAAATTGTAAAAAAATAAAAATTAATAAAAATCATAATTCCGCTCCATTAGTATTATTTCAATTTACACAGAATAAATAAAAAATCAAGGTTAGGATTTTTTTTTTCTCAAAATCCTACAAAGAATTGTTTGCATTTCATTATAAGACGTGGAAACATGAATTAGTCATGGAGGTAGGTAAGTCATTAATTACTAATTTATTATAAGATTAGTAACTTTCTCTTCACTATGAAGAGATTAATTATTTTTTGTTGATATAAGTGTAAAATAGGCCGTAATTTGAGATTGTTTTTATTGGCAAAAAACAAGTTAAGTTGTAAATAGTAAGATTCAAATCTTAAATTTATTAAATATTATTTTTTAAAAAAATTATATTAATTAATTGAGTTAAACTTTAAATTAAAATAAAACTTTACTGAAGTGTCAATTATATATTGAATATAATTACTTTTTTTTTTATATGATATGATTGATTACTTTTAAAAATCAAACATTTGTAAACCAAAAATTTAAAAGAGAGAATAACAAAAAGGTCCGTTAAATCGTAAGAGAATATCATAAAGAAGATCATTAATATTTTTTTTAGTCTAAGATTTTTTAATATTCGATAATTATTTTGGATCCGTTGTCAAGGTCGAATTTCATAAAAAGAACATACTCTCGCAAGCATATATATTTTTTATTTATAAGATTTGAAATTAAAATTTTATTTAAAAAAATTAAATTTCTTATTACTTGGATCAACATATGTTAATAAAGATCATTAATATTTTTGCATATAAATAGAAGTTGAGATAAAAGCTGTTTGTATATTATGTTAAAAAAAAAAATCCATGGATTAAAATTGTCATTGGACGAACGTTCATTCCTATTGATATTAATTTGCAGCTTTAGGTGACAGTAACGTACTTGATTAGAACTCTTAAAAATATTTATATTAAAATAAGAAAGCACAAGGTAAAAATTAATATAAAGCTAGATTAGGAAAAAAAAAAAAAAAAACCCTACATGGGTTTGACATCGATTCATCCCTAATGGAATAATTTTCTTTATAAGCGATGGCAAGGGGTTTATTTTATAAATTTACTAGAATTTTGACCTCACTTTACGTCGGTTCATTAAAGTTTGACAATATTAAATTTATTAACAAAGTTACAGTATCATGAATAAAAGGAGTAAAGTGTATAACAAAGAAAAATTAATGTGAAGAAATTTTTAATAAAACAAATATAAATTAATGATGTAAAAAGCATTTGATAATATACAATAGATAAATACAACAAAAATATTCATATGCATATAACACGAATGATAATCAACCACAATAGTATAATTTAATATATTAATATATATTTTTATTTAATTATCATGTAAAACCTTTTTTAATTATTTTCACACTTGAATTTTTTTCAAATTCCATTCTCCATTATTTGTCAATTAAGTTATCTACAAAACAAGTCATTTAAGTTATGTTTGGTTTGTATTTAAATAAGGGATGAAATTAAAAAATATATTAATTATTTTTTTGATATAAGATGATTCGATTTTTTCAAAATAAAGAGAATTATTTTTTATCCATTTGATTGAATTTACATACCATATTATAATCTTAAAAATTATATTAATAATTTAAATTGTATAAATTTCAAAAAATAATAATTTTGATCAATAAATAAACTATCTTATCTTAATCATTACACACATCAAACACAAGATAGAATTATATTATTTAATTTAATCTTATTCAAAATATCATTTTATCTTATCTTATTATAATTTTATATATCAAACACATCTTGATCTATTATTTAATAGATTAAAAAAAATTAAACTCATCATATCCAATAATCCAAATAATAAATTTTTTGTGAAATTATTGGTACTTGGTTTCATACTCTTGATTGCACGGGCTAAAGAAGTTCATTTACCTCTTACACCCATGTAAGATTTTAAGGATACGTTTGGATAAAAAATTTAAACTTTTTGAAAAATTTTGAAATGCATTAACTCAAAATAATAAAATTTGTAATTGCATTTTTTGAATAATTATTTTTTAGAAATGGATTTTAAATATTAGAATTTAATGAGATAAAAAAAATAACTATAATAGATAAATAATGATATTAGAGATAGAAAAAGTAAAACACTAAAACATATATGTAATATGGATATCATTGGATTTATAAAAATGTGTAGGTATTATTAGTAATATGAAAAAATTTTAAAAATAAATTTTATAATAATTTTTTTAGTTAAATTGGAAAAAAAAAACAAAAGTTGCTTAACAAAAATAATGTTGACTTTTACCGTAAAAATAAAGAATTTCATAAATTCCACCTAAGAAAAGAGAATTTGACCATCAAAATTTTTTATTCAAATTCCAAAAATTTTGATAATTTTATTTTTTATTTTGCCAAACAAAATAATTTTATTTTAAAATTTTAAAAGTATTTTTACAATTGAAATCTTTCATTAAAATCTCTTATCCAAACGCACTCTAAAACACTTCTTCCAAACCCAAATATTAACTCATGGATTTGACTAAAACCAATATATTTCTCCAAGATTTATGATATTATATGCCCAATTGAAGCAAATCAGCTTTGCACGAAAAGGTATTTAATAAAAATTTTGAACCAAACATAGCTCAAGGACTAGCAAGGAGATCGATGCCTAGCCCATGTAATCCCATCTCGAGTGACTACAACCGGTTCAATCTTAGCGAAGATGATATGTGCCGATGAGAAAGCCAAATTAACATCTCTAGCCGTTATTTCTCTATTCTTTTCCTCCTTTCTTTGCCAACCACCTCCCTTCTCTCTTCTTTTCTTTCTTTTCAATAGTTATTGCCCCTAAACCCTTTCTTTCTTTTCTCTTTTTTTTTTTTTAATTTCTTTTTGTTATACCTAAACGCCCAGTCAACATAGTAAATCTCCATACTTGCTAAGTTAGCACACACTCTATAATTACATCATCGTTAAAGAGGATCAACGCCCAAGCTCTCCGCTACAATATAGGCTTACCCCCAACTTATTCGCCTACAAATTATTTTTCACCTAACTATCCCCACTAACATTAGATTAGAAAGTCACCTCAGAATAGATCAATTTACCTCTAAATTGCTCATAACTTAGAATCATTAAATCAGTCTACGCTCACCTACGTGCACCGTTCTTAAGCCAGCCAACTCATCTTCACTTAAAAACACTATCCACTCTCTTTATCCTTAGCCTTTCTCCTGATTCTCCTTATTATTATTATTTTTTAATTATGCTTTTACTTTGTCAAAAGAAATCCAACGTTAATCCGGATATCAAACAGAGAAAGACAAAGTAGAAAAATGGAGTGGATGGGAATAAAAAACGAAATTAACCTTTAAATCATTTTTAATATCAAAACTAATTTGGTTATAATTGAAAGAATGGATAACTTTAATTGTATGTATAGATGTATAATATCTGATACATTATATATTATTAGTAAATCGTATAATAATAGCTCATAAAAATTAATTTAAAAATTTTTTAAAAAAAATATTTTAATCATAAAAATAATATTTAAGAATAATTTTTTTTATAAATTTAATTATGAAATTAAAGCATTTATATAATGAAAGTAAATCAAATATAAATTCATAATAAAAATAAAATCACTAATAAATCAAATGAGGTCTTAAATTTACTTATGAAATTTAAAAAACTTCACTGAATTGAAAATTTTTCCTAATGAAAATTACTGAAAAAAAATAAGGGAGTGACTAAATGTACCATACCTTTTTTCTCCCTACATCTCATTTTTTTTTTTAAATATTTGTAAGTGAAATTATTTAAATATATTATTTACAAATTTTTCAGATATCTAACATTTCCAAAACCCAAGAAGTTATAACGCTTCTAAAAAATGTATTAATGATAAGTCATAACACGACTTAGAAATGTATCTTCAAAAAGTCGTAACACCTCTTGAAAATTCTTTTTCAAGAGTAAAAAAATAAAATTTTATAAAAAATTACAAAAAAAATTTTTTTTAAATATTATTAAATACTACATAATTTTGTTAAAATATAATATGTTAATTGAAGAAATTTATCATGATAAATAGATGGAGAGATTTTTTTTTAAAAAAAAATTCAATTTTCCTAAAGCTATTACAAAATTTTACTAATCCATACAAAAAATGTTTATAAAAAAATGATAAATTCTAAATTTATAAAAAAATTATATTTATTATTTTATCTTTAATTTAATTAGAATCTCATAGAATATAATTTTTTCTCTAAAATAAAAATAGTAAAAATAACTTTTTTTATTAAATTTATATTTTATAATTTTTTTAATAATAATTTTTTCAATACATTTATTTATAAATAATAATTTTTTAATAATTTTTGATAAAATTTCACATTTCTCAAAAGTATTATGAATCATAAAACTTCTCAAAAATGAATTTGAAAAAATTATAAAACTTATGAAAACAAATATTTAAGTGATCTCATTTGTAAAAAATTAAAAAAAAAGTACAAAAAAAAAGCATATTTAGATTTTCCAAAAAAAAAAAACCAAAATAGTGATATTAAGAATCGCATCCTCAATTTTAATTCAAAAACACGTGCACTAATTTTCCTCCAATTAAAAAGCGCCACGTTTAGTGTACTGAAACAAATGTAATAATCCGGCAAGCAGGGAATGTCACCCCTATTTATGTACACGCGCTAAAGCTCAATTGCTTTCTCTGCTTCTTCTCTAGGTCACATAGATTACATAGCAGATTATTATTGGATTTCAAGGAAGTAACTGTAGACAACTTCGGAAATAACACAAAATCTAAATCAAACTCAAAAAGGGTAAAAATTTCCAAGAACAAATAAAATTAATCCAAATCTTTCAAAAAATTTAGTAACTTTAAACCTCCGATCTCTTTCTTCTTCAATGGCTGATGCTCCCTCCTCTTCCGCAACCCTAGAGACCAATTTCCAATCCAAACCCGATTCTGATAGCCCGAATCCGCAACCCACTCAACCCGATCCTCCTCCTTCATCTTCCACTACCACAACAACACCTCTGCAACCAAACCCTAACCCTAACGCGCTCCTCCTTTCTTCTCAACTTCCTCCCGCGATCCCCTCCTATTCGACTCCTCCACCACCGATCTCCGGAGCCGCCACCAACATGCCGCCGGCGCCTCCTTCGTTCCGTCCGGTTCCGCAGTTTTCACCGTTACCGAATTTTCAAGCTCCTGGCATGCAGCCGCCCGGCGTGAGTGCGACTCCTGGTTCTGTTCCGCCGCCATTGATGCAGTACCAGGCGCCGGCGGGTCAGGTTCCAAATCCTGCTCTTAGACCGTTTGCCCCGATTCCAAATGGATATGCCGCCATGCCGGGAGCTGTTCCTCAGGTTACCATGCCTCCTCCGGGTGGGTTATTCCTTCCCTTTTTAAGTGCTTGCATCATTTTGTTGAATTTAGTTCATAGATTAATCTCTAATTTGATTATTGATTGTTCATGTGTATGTATTTGTTTTTATTTGCTATATTATTTTTATGATACAATTGTCATGAATGTGATGATAACATGCTTAGTTAATGTAAGAAAATGAGGAAAAAGTTTAGAGTTCAAAAAAGAGGAGTTTTGGGAGAGATATAGAAAAAAAAGGGCATCGATGACGGAATGTTTTCTCCTACAGTGTCTTGATTGAATACGGGTGAGATAAAGGTTGGAAGGGCTTCAATTCAATATTGCTTAGAGACACCCACTTCTACTACAACTGACTCCCTTTTTGGTATGCCCATGTTTGCTTGGTTTTCATTCATTGCATTCAGAGTAAAAAAAAAATGTAGATTTTAAATATTGTATTCAAGTTAAAGCCACCTACGAGTTTTAATAGAAATATGTGAAAAAATATACAGAATAATTCCATAACTTTATAACTGTTCCATTTTGTTCTAAATCATGTCTTGCATGTCTTGCTCATGTTCATATTTAGTAGTCTATATACTTTCTGGTAGTTATAAGGATAATTTCCCTTTCATGGGTTTATGAATTGCCAGCAGCAGACCATGTTAGCAACTGAATGCTCCTTGGCTTTGTATTCTAAGGTATTGCAATCCTCCTAGTTATATTTTTTTCTTTCTTGTTCTCTCCCTTTCCATTTCCCTTTTTTCTCTGTGTTTTTTGTTGTGGCACTTGGGCTCTAACAGTTGAGATAAATCAAAGTGGTGAAATATGAAAGTAGAATTTTGTGTTAAATAATTTATTTGCAAGCATGAGATGCTGGAATTCTTATGTTATTCAATCCTCAAAATTGTGCAATTGGTGCATGGGATGAGGCTATTAACAAGTGGATGTCTAAGGTAAGTGCACTTTGCATAGCCATGGTTATGAACTCCATGCTATTCTTTTGATGTTTCCTTCAGGTTTTCTGTTCAGCTGGTGATAGTTGCCATGCCTGTGGTGCCATCTCTTTATAGTTTTAATGTGTGGTAAAATAATTTATTCTTTTGGAATTTTTTTTTTCTTGTAAGAGTGCTTCGTGGCATCGAAAACATTTATCAATGTGTTTATTTTGTTAACTTGCTCTGATATGGTTGCATAGATATTTGTTTTCTGTTTATGCAGGACTTCTCCGCTATCCTTCTCCTTACCCAGCAATGATTCGGCCCACATTCCCTCCACGTCCTCCTGGAGCAATTGGTGTGATTTCAATAGTGTCACGTCCTCCTGTTCCGGGTGTTCCTGGCGTTCGCTCAATTATTCCTCCTGTCATTAGACCAGCTGCTGTTCCTAATGTTACACCAGCAGAGAAACCTCAAACTACAGTTTATGTTGGCAAGATAGCACCAACTGTGGACAATGACTTCATGCTCTCTCTTCTTCACGTGGGTATTATTATTTTTGTTTATTTTTTATATTCATGTATTTTTTTCATTTTTTAAATAGTTTTGTTTATCTTTATCTTGAACCTTTGGCTTTATCTAATCTTAGTTTTACACCTTTTTGAAGATATGCGGACCTGTCAAGAGTTGGAAGCGTGCTCAAGATCCCACTAATGGGACTCCTAAAGGTTTTGGGTTTTTTGAATTTGAGTCTGCTGAAGGGGTTCTTCGTGCATTACGCCTACTTAGCAAATTTAATATTGACGGGCAAGAATTAGTGGTATGTTTTTTTAATATATTCTATTCCATCCCCCAAGATCGTATTGGAAGTGTTTTTCCTATTGATGTGATAAGATTCGCTTCCAAATTCACTATGATTGAAAATCATGAAGTTAGACTTTGTTTTGTGAAATTGAAAATTTAGGATTGGAAATCATGACACAAAGTAATCGAAACTATTATAGCTCTTAATTTACATGATAAAGTGGTTCATTTTATTTCTGAAATTTAGAAATTGAATTTAATGAGATTACTATTTTGTTTCTAAACTTTAAAATAAATGCATCTTATAAACCTTATGCATAAAATATCAAATTGTGCAGTATGACGTATGATATGTAAACATGGTAGAAAACAATTGTGAATAAAATTAAGGTGTAAGACGGATTTGAATTGAAGTACTTATAATTTCTTTGGTTCCATGTAAATGGTTCAATGCTAAATGCTCCCAAACATTTTTCACTTTAAAATTGTTTGAAGTGGCCATCTTACAGATTTGGAGAAGATACGAATGAGATAGGCATTTTTTAAGTTAATAATTGAAAGTAAGGGAAGTTTTATGCTTTTTTTTTTTTTGTGAAGTAGTTGTTTTAGGGTTGGTTAAATGTTCTATGGGGTCAAGGCAAGATATTGTTCTGTCTGTGAGCAATGCTTCTATTTGAGTTTTTTTTTTTAAATGATTTGAATTAGTTACTTCTGTCTGGTTTTTTCGTCTTTCCAATCTTGTTTCATGGAGTTGATTTTGCATTTATTCCATGGTTAATAGTTAAATGTTAATCAAGCAACAAGAGATTATCTGGAGCAGTATGTCAAAAAGAAAAGTGAAAATGCAAAGAAACTCAATGAAGCTCAAGCTGCAGGGGCTGAGAAAGAAGGCGAGAATGCAATAGGTGATGAGAAGAATGAATCATCAACGCCTTCTGTTAAGGATTCTGAGAAGGACAGCGATACTGGCAACAAAGAAAATATTGACATTGCCAACTTTGGCATCGTGACGGATGAAGATCGTGAGGCCGATCGAGATGCTTCAGAGAAGCTTGCCAGCATGATTGAAGAGAGGTTAAAGACCAATCCTTTCCCTCCACTACCACCACAAAATGCTCCTAATGGTTCTGGCAAATCAAATTCAGATCTGCCTGCTAAATCAAGGGATGCGGACTCTGATGTTGATGTAATAAGAAATGGTGAGTTTTTGCTGCTGTGTCTATGTGGTTTTATTGCATTCTTTATTATCTTTATCATGTCATATCATCAAAATCTACATAAAAGTCCTTGAGTTTCAAGGAGAATCACACTGGAGGAAGTAGTGATATTTATTATTTTTGAAGAAAGGGGATTTTGATATCGCGTTGATAATTTTGCAGATGGAGCTGAAGGTAAAAATGATGATGAGACAACCAGTGAGAGCAAAGCAACTACTGAGAATGATCGGCCTGAGACAAGCTCACCTGATCGTAGGTATGATAGAAGAAGTAGAGACAGAGAGCAGGATCTTAAGAGGGAAAAGGAGCGTGAAATTGAAAGATTAGAAAGAGAAACAGAACGAGAAAGGATAAGAAAAGAGAGGGAGCAACGAAGGAAGATTGAGGAGGCTGAGCGCGAGTATGAAAAGTTTCTTAGAGATTGGGAGCAAAGAGAAAAGGATAAGGAGAAGCAGAGACAGTATGAGAAGGAGAGGGAGAAAGAGAGGGAGCGCAAACGGAAGAAGGAGATTCGCTATGATGAAGATGATGATGATGATGATGATTCGAGAAAAAGGTGGCGTAGGAGTGCTTTGGAGGAAAAGAGGAGGAAGAGGTTGCGGGAGAAAGAGGATGATTTGGCTGATAGACTCAAAGAAGAGAAAGAAATTGCTGAGGCCAAGAAAAGAGAGGAGGAGGAGCAGCTGCAGCTGCAGCAGCAGCGCGATGCATTAAGGCTTTTGTCTGATCGCATTGCAAATGGAGGTGAAAAGACTGTGTTGGCTGAAGAAGCTAGCACTGAAAACAAGGATAAGGCAGTTGAACAGCATTATGAGCATGAATCAAGTCATGAAAACCAGATATTCAGTAATCGTTCATCTCTCTATTTTACTTTACTGTAATTAAATTTTTGTGTCCCCATCTCTCATTTTATTTATTTATTTATGTTTTGAAATGGACTATGTTTGTATATGACAGGCGAAGGGAATATGCAAAATGGTTCTGTTGATGAATCAAACATGGCCTTTGTTGCTGCATCAGATACACGGCAGAGTGGGAATGCCCCAGCAAGAAAGTTGGGTTTTGGTCTTGTTGGATCTGGTAAGCGGACTACTGTCCCATCTGTTTTCCACGAGGAAGATGATGATGCTCAGAAGGAGAAGAAAATGAGGCCCCTGGTTCCCATTGATTACTCTACTGAGGAACTGCAGGCTGTCCAACCTGGTGCCCCACCACCAAATTTGGTTGCAGCTGCTGAATTTGCAAAGCGAATATCAAACATTAATCCTAAAGAGGAAAAACCTGATGCAGAAAGAGAACGAAGCAGACGTTCTTATGATAAATCTGGCAGGGATAAAGATGGTTATGATGAGGATAACCGCACCAGAGATGAGAGCAAAGAGAGGATGCCTGTTCGGGATAGGGACAGGGAACATGGACAAGGTAAGGTGAAAACAACAGATAACCAGAAACTTTTGGATGCCAAACAATTAATTGATATGATTCCAAAGACCAAGGAGGAACTATTTTCATATGAGATAAACTGGGATGTGTATGACCAGGTAATCATCCTTTCTCAGGTCCTTAATTCAAACTGTTAATTTTGAGAAGCATGTGTTTTCTGGTCATGAATATCTGGTTAACAAATTGCATAATGCTAATGTGATTATAGCTGTATAATCAATTGCACATCAAATGCATTAGGCTTATTAGTAGTCCTTGGCATATGTGGAACTAACATGAATATTGCCATATCTATATTTCTCTCTTACATTTGTTGGCAATGATCATCTTTTGGCAGCTCTCTTCACCTTATAAGTTGGGGTTAAGTCAGTTCATTGTACATAGAACTTTAAAGGTGTTCCAAAACTATATTAGTCATCATGCTACCAAAAAATGTGCATTAAATGATATCTTAAAAATAATGAGAAATAAGAAATTATGTTATTTATGTTTTAAGAATTTTTTGGAATTCCATGATGCAGAATTGTTGTCTTTTCATTGTAGAAAATAGGGTTGGGGTAGGTGGGCCCCCATATCTATATTTCTACTATACAATTGCATGCTCGAATGATTTTCTAATATCTCTGGTGGTGGTGAAACTCAATTCACTTCTTGGTTTTATTCTTGCTTGCTAATTCTAAGATGTTACCCTTTTGTTGTGATGCACTTCTTTAGCATGCATTGCATGAGAGAATGAGACCCTGGATTTCAAAGAAAATTACGGAGTTTTTGGGAGAGGAAGAGAAAACATTGGTAGATTACGTTGTATCCAGTACTCAGGAACATGTTAAGGCCTCCCAAATGCTGGAGCTGCTGCAGTCTATATTAGATGAAGAAGCGGAGATGTTTGTGCTTAAGATGTGGAGGATGCTCATATTTGAAATTAAAAAAGTAGAGACTGGTCTGGCTTTGAGGTCAAGAGCCTGATTGAACATTGTTGCGCAGTGGTGGTTCCTATGTTGCCGTGGGACTGAGATTTTTATTACATGGTTGTTATCCCCATTGGGGTGAATCATGTGTCTCTTCTGCCTGTTACTGTAAGACCAAAATGTAGATTGCACTAGGGAATAGCTTTGTTGAGTTTGTATTACTACTAAGTACAATTTGTTACATCAACCATTTTTTTTTTCGCTGATTTCACCATTTTTCTCCCGCTCTCTATGGAAGAGCAACATTTTGACATCCTTGTTCATTTTGATTTTGTCTGCCATGTGGAATGGACTAATGATTCATGTTCAGTACTTGAGGTAGTATATTCTTTTAACGATTATTACCTGATACATTATCAGACTCCTATGAAAAGTAATTTCTGAATGTAACTGTGGATTTTGTACTTCCAAGTGCTGAGAAGTATTAACTCCAGCGCCTCCCTGAACATTCTCTTTGACGGGTCTAAAACAGCTTGACCATTAACTTAATGGGGAATATTCATTAGAAGCTTTTGACCCTGTATTCAAGCTAGCTTTATCTTGCACAGGGCTAAAGCAGGACAGGCCATCCATGGAGCAAGTGGTATTAAGATTACAAAAAGCACAAGCTAAGTGTGACAGGAGCCATGAATCCCTGTTCAGCAGTATGATGGAGTTAATATTGGGATATAAGTGTTTATCACTTTCAACTTTTGTGATGTCTTTTGTTGGTTTTGAGATACAAATGTATCACATCATTTTTTAACTTGAGATCTTTTCTGTGTGAAAATCTTGAGTTCAATAATTTCGAGCAGATAATATCTCACGAGTGGATGTACATCACCACAAAGCCAGCTGCATCCGTGGAACAATTATATACTAAAGTTGTAAAGTGGATAGATTTAGTATTAGATAAACTATAGCACAATCCTAGAACGAGCGTACAACACAGATGAAGCTGTTTATACATTATACTACCACTTATGAGGAATGAATTTTACACCATTGTATTATAGTCTTACGACCATATATATTATCAACATTCCGTAAATAAAATTATAATGCCACAATAACTTTTTTCACGCAGCTTCATAGAAAAATGCAGAAGCTGAGCAATATAGACACTTGCGTGTATTTACATGGAAAGATTGCAGGAATGAACAAGCAAAAAAACAATAAATGGGTACCCGGAAAATAATTGGGTTACCAATTACCATGCGTGAACGAATCGTTCTCGTGGAACAACTGGAGTCGCTGAAGCTGAGGATCTCTTTTCATAAAACTCATGCAGAATCCTGATGATTGCACTGGCCTTTTTGCTAGCTCGAGTGGTACCTTCACTAAGCTGGGAATACAAGGATCCCATAAGACAAGGATTCTTCACCAAACGAACAACCACATCTAGACCGCCATTTACACAGAGAGCCAACAACAAGGAAACGCAATACTCCTTCGCTGTCCTTGAAGTGAAGGTATTCAAATTCCTCACTAACAATTGCAAGGCTCCGCGGCGTAAAATTGCAACCGTCCCATCAACTTTCTCTGCTAAAGTAGCTAAAACTGCAAGAGAATCCGTTACAATTGTTGGGGTGATAAACAACACATTGAAGCTCTAAAGAGTACACTAGAGAGTCCATATATACATATTGAATACCATTTGAATCCCAAAATTTAAACTATTAAGTTTTTGGGTCCTTCATGTGTTGGAATATTGACTCAAATCCCATAAGAGATTTGTTTGAGATTTATTAGATATTACTTGATGGACAAGAAGACTTGCAAAAGAAGAATTCCAAGAGAAAGAGGATTCTTAATAGGTAAGTTTGACTTGTAAGAGAAGAATTCTAAAAGGGAAGGGATTCTTAATAGGCAAGTTTGACTTACAAGAGAAGAATTCTAAGAGGAGAGGGATTCTTAATGGGCAAGTTTGTATGATTATAAATAGGTGAAGTCTCTACAGGGTTAGGTATGAGAAAAAGATGTAAGAGAGTTGTAGAGTTTTGTGGGATAGACACCTCATAAGAGTATTGGGGCTCTACGTCTTATGGGTGTGTATGTTTGTTTGTGAGTGGACTAGAGGAGATTGAGAGGGCCCACATAGGTATAGTGTATGAGAGCATATGAGTATGTGTTTGGTTGTGTTGAAAGGGTGCACAAGAGTTTGGGTTTATGTTTGTTTGGGTAGAGAATACTTCATAGGACTAGAGGAGATTGAGAGTGTCTTATGAGTATTGATTGTTGAGTGAGGTTGATGATATGATGTATGTTTGTAATTCTCTACAACTAGTGGATCTTGTTTCTCATCCGTGGATGTAGGTCAGTTGAACCGAACCATGTTAAATTGTTGTCTCTTATGTGTGTTTGATTTATTGTTTGATTTCGCTTCCGTTGGTGTGATTGGATTGGAGGCGTTTAGCCTAACAAATGGTATCAGAGCTGTGGTGTTCCCCAACAAATGGTATCAGAACTGTGGTGTTTCCTAACAAGTGGTATCGGAGCTGAAGGTTCGAAACGTGAGAAGAGTTGAAGATTCAAGATGTGGAAAGAGCCGATGGTTCGAGACATGGGAAAAGTTGATAGTTCGAGATATGGGAAGAGCTTGGTTTGAGACATGGGAAGAAGTAAGCTTAGAGGAGCTCGATTCAAGAAAAGAGTTCGAGTTCGAGTTTTGAAGATTGATGATTGGTTTGTATGAAGTGTGAAGACACAAGAGAAGAGAAGATGATTGTAAGACTTCTATTGCAGGTGGAGCCAAGCATGTCTAGCATGAAGACAGATGATTGATGGAATTTAAGTCAAGGTAGAGATTATTGGGAATATTGACTCAAATCCCATAAGAGATTTGTTTAAGATTTGTTAGAGATTTGTTTGAGATTTGTCAGATATTGCTTGATGGACAAGAAGACTTACAAAAGAAGAATTCCAAGAGAAAGAGGATTCTTAATAGGTAAGTTTGACTTGTAAGAGAAGAATTCTAAAAGGGAAGGGATTCTTAATAGGCAAGTTTGACTTACAAGAGAAGAATTCTAAGAGGAGAGGGATTCTTAATGGGTAAGTTTGTATAATTATAAATAGGTGAAGTCTCTACAGGGTTAGGTATGAAAAAAAGATGTAAGAGAGTTGTAGGGTTTTGTGGGATAGACACCCCATAAGAGTATTGGGGCTCTACGTCTTATGGGTGTGTATGTTTGTTTGTGAGTGGACTAGAGGAGATTGAGAGGGCCCACATAGGTATGGTGTATGAGAGCATATGAGTATGTGTTTGGTTGTGTTGAAAGGGTGCACAAGAGTTTGGGTTTATGTTTGTTTGGGTAGAGAATACTTCATAGAACTAGAGGAGATTGAGAGTGTCTTATGAGTATTGATTGTTAAGTGAGGTTAATGATATGATGTATGTTTGTAATTCTCTACAACTAGTGGATCTTGTTTCTCATCCGTGGATGTAGCTCAGTTGAACCGAACCACGTTAAATTGTTGTCTCTTATGTGTGTTTGATTTATTGTTTGATTTCGCTTTCGTTGGTGTGATTGGATTGGAGGCTTTTAGCCCAACATCATCTATATATAGGATATCTCATTCAGATTTTTTACTTATGTGAGATTTTTTACTCACATGTGAATCATATCCTAACAATCTCTCACGTTCACTTGTGAGTTCTGATCAAGTTACATCTCAGCTCTCCGTGCGAGTAAATCCTATCAACATCTCATTTGGGCTAGACAATATGTCATCTTTAATACGTTTTTGAGACAGGCCACAGCACTCAATCTTGTCACGTAGGTTGTTTCAATGCTCTCTTAAGCCTACACTCCAGGTTGACTCAACACATCGCTCACTTGGGTGTGCTGCTTTTTTACATATTATCATATACTCACTACATCCAAGTCGAACCTCCTTCAAGCTTACACTCGAAGTTGACTCAACACATTGTCTACTTGGATGTATTGTTTTTTTGCATATTATCATATACTCGCTACATCTAAATTGAACCTTTTAATATCAGTATTCGAGTACATGGAGTTTATGGATGCAGCTAACCTCCGATCTATCAACAATCTCCTTTAATACTGGTGTTCAAGTACATGAAATTTATGGACGCGACCAACCTCCGATCTGCTAATAATTTCTCCCCCCAGTAACGCTACTGGGACTTGAATCCATGAATTTTCGAACCCGTTGTAACTTTAGGTCTGATACCACTTGTTGGAGAGATAAATACCACTTGAAGCCCATAGGAGCACATTAGAAAATTCATACATATATGTTGGATATCACTTGAGCCCAAAATCTTAAGTTATTAGGTTCTTGCATCATTCATACATATATAAAATATCTCATTCAAATTTTTATTTAGCTTTTATTGATGACCATAGAAATTGGAAAGATTTTTACTGACGTCGATCTAATGATTTCATTAAGGGGAAAATGGAGACCCATGCATGTTGTTAAAGTTCGGATCCAATGCTGACTAATATATATTGGTTATAGTGGGTGAGGGTGGGACTGCAAACCTCCTATTATAAAACTTTGATATACCTTCAAAGGCGTGCATGAAAAATTTTTATTTTTTAGATAAGTAGGGATTTTATTTATAGAAATTATCATATTTATTGTTATTGTCATGTTTAATAGAGTGGGTGATATATTCTTAGTATATAGTAAAAATTTATAAAAAATAATTAAAAAATAAAATATATGACAATATTTTAATCTTGTTATTACATTAAAAATTTTACTAAAAAAAGGAACTCTTTTATTTATCTAAAGAAGCAAATAAAGTGCTACAATTACAACTGTTTTCCCATCAAACATACAAGCCTAATAATCAGAAAAGATGTCAACTCCTTAAGCAAAATGACTATCTTTAGCCAGTAATAGTCAATCAAATCAATAAAATCAATAACATAATATAATTTTTATCCCAATTTAAGGAGGGTGAAGAATTTGAAAATGTTAAGCTTTATCTTTTAAGCAAATAAAACTAGACATTGAGGTTAATTTGAGGAGTAATTATTATGGTAATAATATATTCACTTACTTTTCTCAAAATGCAAAGCAAAAACCACTCAAAGCCAGTAAAAAAATTTGATATGTGTAGTATTAATTTACTACTGCACTAGCCAATATATATAAATATATATATATATATATTATAAAATACGTAAATACCTTATAAAAAATATCACATAAACATTTATATAGATAATTTTTTGAAATGATATGTAAGATAATTTTTTAAAAAAGTAAAATAACTTTTTTTAATTATAAATTAGTTAATATTAAATTTATTCAAATATTAAAATTATTCAAATTATAATTGAAAATCAAGTCAATATAAAAATATAGTTTTTAAAATTAAAAATTTAAACTATGGATTTTATCTTCATTATAAATAATTTTAATTGTTTACCAAATAATCTTATTTAAGAAATTATTTAATTATTAAAATCTTTTAATATGTTTAGAAAATTACAAAAATTAAGTTAAAATTATATATTTTGCATTTAGCTTTACACTACTTATTAACAATAATTCAAATTTTATTATTGGTGAATTTATCTTTTTATGTAATCCATAAATATATAAACTTTGCCAAACAATAATCTCGATTCAAAGTGAGTCAATTATTTTAATAACTTTAATTAATTTATTGAAGCTTATGTGTTAATGTCTGCATATTTTTTTATATTTATTATACTTTTTTTATTTTTTGTTTATGCAGATATGCATATATATCTTAATTTATATAGTTATATTTTACTTATCTATATTTTATTTATATATTATTTATATTTATTGATATAATTTTTTGAAATAAAAAATGTAAAACCTTTGCTTCTCGCAACAAAATGCGGGCATTTCTCTAGTATGTATGATTTCAAACCCCAAGCATAATGAAGATCTTAAGATTAAAAAAATCTGTAGCCAAGTTCCTTAATCCTGCTATGTGCATTCCTACAGCCTCCTTGTAATTCAATAACCTGCATCTGTTTGAACAGCCTCAGATTATATTTTTCTCCAAAGGTGATAAATGAAGGCATCCAGGCTATACGTAGTATGGTTGAGAGTAGTGGCTTCTTGTTCAGCTTTCTTGCTAGAATTAAAATTAAAGAACGAAACAAGACAAAGAAAATAAGGTTAAGAAAATAAATTTGTGTTTTGAAGCTAGACCACTTTCATTAAGATTTAATATGCTTCCAAGCTCCATGATACAATAAAGCTCTCAACACTCCAATCACAATAGTGAAAATCAAGCTCTAGTCACGGAGAACAGAGGTAGAAATATCGACGGAGGTTAGAACTCAAAAGGTCATAGTAAGTCTAAACATAGATTCAAGTCTAGAGATAAAGTGAAGTGTTTTCATTGTGGTAAGACAAATCATATAAAATGACACTGTAAAATCTTGAAGCAAGAGTGAAAAGATGAGAAAGGTAAGAGTTCAAATGATGACAATGTTGCGTAGTGAATTCAGATAGTGATTCAGTTACTTTTATTTATCCACATAGTGATTGTAATCATATTAGTGATCTCGACATTGAGTGGATAGTTGATACAGGAGCGACATATCATTGTATTCTTAAAAGAGAGTTGTTTACAACTTATAAAGTAGA